TCCAACCTATGTTTGAAGCAATTCAGCGTATTCGAGTTAATGATGATTTTTGGTAACTTGTTCCATTCATCCACTACTCTGTTCAAACCAGTGTTTACCTATTTCACGCCTAAATCTAAATTTGTCTAATTTAAAACCATTGTTACGAGTTCGCTCTGGTTGGATAATTTGAGTACCTTTGTAATGTCCCCTTTGTTTAGCCCTGTCTTCCACTTATACACCTCTATCAGGTCGCCCCTCTCTACGTCTCTCGAGGAGTGCAAATTAAGATGCTTTAACCTGTCTCTGTACTCAAGGTTCCTAATACCCAGGATTAGTCTTGTCATTCTCCTCTGAATTCTTTCCAAGGATTCTATATCCTTCTGTAATACGGTGACCAGAACTGAACTCCAGAACCAGAACTCCATTGTCTATAACACTATACCTGTATACTTGTCACACTGAAATATTATTATTACCGTTATAATTATTATATTATTATTATTATTATTATTATTATTATTATTATAATTATTATTATTATAATTATTATTATTACCGTTATTATTATTATATTATTATCATTATCATTATCATTATCATTATCATTATCTTGGCTGCCTCACATACACTGTTCCCTAAACAATAGTCAGGACTTCTCGCTGACGAACTTGTGAATATGTAAACAAATCAAAATCTGGATCATCAGCTGACTGGGTGACTCAGGTGGTGGTCTACTGTCTGGGTGTGACTGTCAGACACCATTTGTTGTCTCCCATTATATTTACTTTTATGGTAAGTATTTAAAAAAAATTAAGCCAATTGTACGACAGTTTAATTTTCGTCAGTTATTGGTTCATTCAGTGAGTCTTAAGTCAACATATGATATATGGGAATAGAGTCGACATTGATGAAGGAAGGGTTATTAAGCAATGATCAGATCAGACCAGTCAATAAGGGCCACGTGCAAGTGTCACCCTTGGGAAATTTAATGCTATGAGGAAGTAGCATAAATAATGGTGAATATTCGTTTAATGCTCAACTGAATTTTTTTAACTAGTAAAATGATAAGTATTTAGTAGTTGCCACCACCTAATTGTCTTTTGAAAATGGGTTTTTATAGTGTAAATCATCTTGTTAAATACAAATATGACCTTCATTGCTGTCGGAAATAAATAATAGTTGAGATATTGAAAAAAAGTCGAAGGTTTGGTTAAACAATGTAAAACTTAAAAAAACCTAAAAAAAAACTACCCGAACCTAACCCTAACCCCTAGTTATTAAGAAACTTACCTTAAGTAAGAGATACAGGAGGATAGAGTGATGTGACTTGAATGAGGAAGTGGTGTCTTCAACAGTGTCGTCTCTTCACAGTACCATGCATGGTGATCTACACGCAACTGACACTATGAATTACACCTCGGACACTTTACAGATGAAACAAGAACATTGTGAGCCCTACAGATGTCAGCGGCTGCTTCATTGTCCAAAATGCTCTGAATAATGCACCAGCCATTCCAATGTATGTCATTCACACACAGACGGCACATGAGTATTACATCATATCGGCACTCACGCTGATTGGTCAAATATAAAATAAATGCTAAATAACTTGAAAACTATAAATTTCCGATTGAAACATTATAGTATAGATTATTAAAATTTTTTTCTCTATCTCCCCATACATTCATATGACTCAATATTCAGTTAGGTGGTGGCAACTACTAAATATTAACCAGAAAAATAGTTTTTCTTGTGTTTGATTTGAAAGAATATGTCCCTTATTTTTGGGGGATAATGCTTTTTATGGAGATATGTCCACTTACACACAAGCACTGACAATTAATCCCTCAAAGTGGTCAGGGCTTTGAAGATGGGGGAAAACGTGGGGTTAAAAACTTAAAACACACAAAAAAAAAATAAACCTTTGTACACCTGAACTAACCTTCCTTGACCTAGGAAGGGGTAATAATAATATACAAGTATATTGTACAGCATATTCAGTGAAGTTGTCATACAGGTTTACAATTGGATAAGCATGTTTGTAAATTATATAACTAAACAGTTCAGCATGAATATAGACACTGTAGGTATATGGTGCATGTAGGCTGTGGGAGTATACTGTGCAATATCCTGTGTTAAATGACAATGGTAAACAGCCGACAAAAGGGTTTCTGTGTTTTGATCACAAGGGAGCCTTAACGCAAATGAATACTGATATATAAAATTTTTGTCCATGCTTAAATCTCCTTAGAGATTTGAATTGTCCTCTGATTGGTCAAAGCAGATCATGTGAAGTTCACTTGAAAGAGATATGAATATAAACTCCGTGAAAATGTGTTTAGTAAATTTGAAACCATCAATATTGTTGCATCTTGGTCATGCTCAGATAAGTTACTAAACATAAGCACGATCTGCAGCATATGAAACCAGGTTCACAGAAACAGTGATTGTTCATCCATCACATAAATAAGATCAGAATTTTGTTTAAATAGGTTATATTATAAGTTAGAAAATGTTAGCTTAGGTTCTTGAAGGTTCTATTGTTGTTGTTTTTTTGTGTTTTAACCCCACATTTTCCCTCATCTTCAAAGCCTTACCCACTTTGGAGATCTTTTAAGGGACATTAATTTTGATTTGAGAAAAAGACTAATACAATGTATGGATAATTCTTGTTTAGAAGACAACTTTTTTTCATGCCTCACAAATATCTCATAAATGACCAGGTTACAGTTTTATAAATGTAATTTTTTTTTAGTAATAGTAGCAAGGGCTTTGTTGTTTTTTAAGTTTACAATGATTCATATGGTAATGAAAATATTTATGTTTCAGAGCATTGCAAAATTCAGTTGGACAAATAATGACTACAAGCATAGAAAGACCTCTAAGACTGCTGTGCCTTCATGGTTATAGACAAACTGGAAGCAGCTTCGAGAAAGACAGGAGCTCTGAGGTACTGTAGTTGGGTCCTTTCAACAAGGTTTTCTTATGGTCTCATCCATACTCAACACACACACACAAAATGTATGCATGCACCCACACATACACACCATATGTACACACACACACAGTACATTGTTTCCTTCTAAACTTAAGGGATGATGTGTTTAGGTTCCCCTCCAGGTTGCTCACTCTTCCATGCCTACCATATACGTTCCTAAGGAGGGCCTCCTCCACTCTTCCTTCTTCTCTTATTCTCTGTCTTCTTCTCATTCTTGCTGTCACCTCACACATATACTTTAACTTCATCACTGTCTTCTCATATCTTCACAGTAATAGTCTAGTTTTCTATTGAGACCCACCTATATACAGTACTGTACTGTGTATCAGTAGTTTTGATGATGAGTGGATTATACCAGGGTCATGAAAGGATTACCCTGTGAATGAGAGTAATGCATGAAAGTGGAAGAATGTACCGATGAGTCCTGCAGATGAATCTCTTTACTGAATAAATTAATTGATGTACAGTATTGTACTGTAAAATATTCAAGTGGTTGGTGAAATTTAGACTTTTTGTCATTCTCATTACAGTATAAGAGCATTAACTGTTGTAGTGCTTTTTAATTTTGACACTTGCTCATACAGTACAGTACTGTACTCTTGTTATTGTTGTGAAGCTCAGTGAACCAGCTGCAGTGATATAATTATTGTGAAGCTTAGAGAAATTATTGCATCCATTTTATTGTTGTGAAGCTTAGTGAACTTGTTGCTTCTATATTGTTGTTCTGAAGCTCAATGAACATGTATGGATATACATACTGTATGTACAATACTGGATGAGAATGGAATGTAAATAATACTTAGAAATAGTTGCACTTACAATAACCTTTATGTACTGTGATAGAATATTTGTCTTTGGATACAGTACTGTACACTAATTATTTGCTTTAATCACACACACACAGCCACCGGTTGCAATTCTATTAATAAACCGTTTATTTTTATTATTATTACACACACACAGTTACACACACACACACACACACACAGTTACACACACACACACACACACAGTTACACACACACACACACACAGTTACACACACACACACACACACACACCACACACACACACACACACACACACACACTTATACACTTATTTGTTACAAACTAGATTGCTTTCTTTGCAATATTTGGGGAAGACGGAGAGAGAAACAAGTGTAGTGATCTTTTTCTTTAATTTAAGTACAGTAGTAAACTCGTAATCTGCATGGTTACTGTATTTTTAAATGTAGATAATTAGCATCCAGTGTACTGTACTTATTTAACCTTAAAAATTGTTGATGTTGTAGGGATATTCTATAAAAAAGAAAAACAGCTTGATTATTTTTATATATTGTACATGTATACCTGTACTAGATAACCTATTTATTTATGCATATTTTTGATAACTGCTTATACAGGAAGCAGTTGAAAAAACATGCTGAAGTTGTCTTCATAACTTCACCAGTGTCAGTGCCGCCAGTTGAGGGACCCAAGACAAAGATGGTGGTTGTGGGTGGTGGTTTAGCCGACCAGATGATTTTTTTAAAGCTCAGGATGAGACTAACTGTGCAAAAGGGTTTGAGGTAAGTAAATTATTTGACAACATGTATGATGTATAGTTGCCCACAGGTACAGTATAGTGTTCCACCCCTCGATGGAACATGTGGCATTGTTGGATTCATAGTCAAGCCTTCTTTACAAATATTACATGTATCATATCACTTAGCGCAAATCTTGAGTACAAATGTTACCTCAAAAATATATTGTTAGCCACATGTTTGGAAATGCTACAGAGTTTTTTGGGGGTTGGCCAGTCCCTAACCCCCTGAATTTGCTATATTCTTATGGGATTAACCATTGATTCATTAACCAATAACTTTTCACAGTCTCCTATATGCGTCGGTTAGCGAGGTATACCTGTACAGAATTGTTATTGCCTTATAATCATTGTGTAGTATCTGTTCAGCATAATGTCATGAAAAACATGTTTTATGGCATTTTAAGGTGTTTTGGGAGATTTTTTTAAAAGGAACATACAGTATCTCAGGTTTCATAATTGGAGTCTATGAGAAAATGTGATCCACTTTACAAAAAAAAAAAGGAATACATACCCGGTACCTGTACTGTCAATTTAAGCCCTCAGAACTAGAATTCTTCATAAGAGACACATACAGGTGTTTAAAGGATTTTAGCATTCCCCTGAAAAGAAAGTTCTGCCAAGCATCCTAGTTGTGGTGCATGCCGTAATTCTCTTGACACATGATCTTTACCTCCCATTCTTTAGATGGTTCTATGTCTCATTGATCATGAAGGAATATTGACAAATAAAGAGATTATGTGAAATCGCATGTTATAGTCAAGAGCCCACAGTTATTGCTAGGGGTTATTTAGTGGTGCAGTGATTGTTAGAAGCATTAATTCCTGACCGATTATCTTTGCTGAATGAAGAGGCAACCACCACATAGATGGATACTTTAAAATGCTCTGGGATCTCATTGGTCTAATCTCTTGACCCTCAGTTATTAAATGGGATTCCATATAAGTCCCTCATTTATCTTTTCCTATTATAACACAATACAGTTTATTAAGTCTTTTTCAGGAATCTCTGAAAGCAGTCGAGTCCTGCTTTAAGGATTCTGGTCCCTTTGATGGGATATTGGGCTTTAGTCAAGGTGCAGCCATGCTAGGACTGTTGTGTGGACTACAGCAGCAGGGCAAACTGCCATTCTCATTCAAGTTTGCAATATTTGCATCAGCCTTTAGATCCGGATCATCACCACACCAACATTTATACTCCAAGAGAATCACATTACCCTCTCTTCACATCTTTGGTGAAACTGATCAGGTATGTATTGTAATAGTTGCTTATTACTGCATAGGTTTAGTTATTAATCAGACTCACTTAAAGATCTCACCTTTAAAGGAATGTCATAATGCATAAAACCTTTGAAAATTCACTGTCAAAATACAAGAACAAGTTCATTTTTCCATAGAGATGTGTGTTGATGCCATTTTGTATTGATATCACTGGCCAGAATTTTTGTGGTGGATTGTGAGTCTCCTTGTTTGGCCAGAAAAAAAAGAGTATGATGAAATTTCACCCAGAGCCTATAGACTGAAAATCTATGGGAATGATGAGTCATCTGTTTCAAGTTTAGCTTTGATGAAATATATTTATTATTGTTGTAGGAAAGTTCTCAGATGGGATTGTATTTTAAGTATGACATGTTGGTGTCTTTTTATCTTTCCTGGATCCTTGTTATCTCCCCTACCAAAGGAGCAATTTTGAAGTATGGGTATACTGAGCATTTGTCCAAATGAACTAACTGCCATCCCTCCCATTCATTCACATTCCTCTCTTCCCAAAATAGAAAACAAGACCACTGGTTACTCAGTTTTCATCACCACACTTAAATCCCATCATTCATGCCTGGGAAATAGTAATCCTGTGTTTAAAATAACAACACAGAGACAAATTGTGTTGGGACTGTTACAAATTAAAGATGTTTTGATGTAAATATTCAGGTTTTGCTAAAGGTGATCTGTTTTCATTTAAGGTAAGGAGACCTACTGGTGGGTCATCTGGTTGCCTTGTTTAATGATGTGATAGGATTTTGAATTTCCTCGTTAATTTTCATGCCAGCAAATAGATTGCGGAACTGGTTTTCAAGTTGTATGTATGTCAAGATTAACCTTTAATATATAGCTTGTGCCTCAGTATCACTTTAGAAGAAATGCTCTGCTGAATTAGAAAATGGTGAATGGATTTTGAAATCCAATACTGTTCTGTATGGTGGACAGTAGTCTTGGTGTTGTGTGTAGATTGGACAAATATGACTCAAAGAAGGTATCCTGTACCGAGAAGGAATATACTATATCTGCCCTTTTTCAGGCAAGTGGTGTGATGAGGAACAAAGAGTGGCTGGTATAGCCAAATGAGTTAACAAATCAACCCACAGCTTGTGTTATGGGAAATAGTCTGGAGACTTGATCTTCCAGTAGGCAGCCACCTGGCTACAGGACCTGGGAGAAAATATGTTTTCAGGATCATTCCTACATTTATAGTTCAGAGCTGACTGTAGTGACCTATATTCTATCCCTTCTCTCAGGACAGACTTTGAATTTACTAAATCTAAAATTTAGAATAATAAAACCTCCTTTATGGCATGGGTAGTTTACAAGATGTAATGGGTTATTTTGGGGATGAACTCTTGACCAAGACATTTCATTGGCCATAAATGCAACTGAGGAACTGTATCTGCATTAGTTATATTATTAACATGAATAATATGTCCTGTTGCTGTATAATTGTACATTACAACTATGGTGTTCAATGTTGCTGGCATCTCAGTTTACATGCTTCAGTCCTTCATTAAGTCAATACTGTACCCTATTTTTACAGCACATTTTAATGTATAAGTATAAATACCTCAATCCAAATTTTGCTCCATGCATTTGTAAGATTTTGTAAACTATGAATGTCTCGTAATTAACATAAATGTAATTTTTTTCTTGTCAGGTGATCAGTATGAGTGAAGACCTCCTTCAGTTATTTGATGAACCATACACTCTTGTACATCCTGGTGGTCACTTTATTCCAGCAACGGCAGCACAGAAGACTACTTATGTTCAGTTTCTGGAAAATATGAGACAGTTATGTGATGTTTGAAGTGATAATATAATCTTAAGAATCACTGCTCAAGTGATACCAAAGACTTCATCTCTGCTTTATATTTGGGGCACTGACATTCTGATAAGTTTTCAAATTTGGAGATTTTAATTATTATTTATCAAAGACTTAACGTTTTAAAGATGTCCATATTTTTTTGCAATGAATAAACTTTCAAAGCAAATGTTTTGTTTATTGAAATGTAATTTATAGCCTGTCATCAGTCCAAGGAGAATTGGGTATTGTGATGTGTTGTGTTCTCTTGTAGTGCTGCAAGTCAAAAGTCTTTAGCCTCCATCTGGACAAACCTGTTTAGATTCTGGCACTTCCACAATTAAAATCTATACTTTTCATATCCTTGATCATCCATACATGTTAATGCTGCAGAGGGTACAGTCTCGTTCAAGATTCTTCGAACACTGCTGGAGACAGCTGGCAACTTGAGGCCGTATGTTTACTATGATCGTAGTATAATATGATATAAAAAAATGAAGCCCAACCGTTAAGTTAAGCAATGAGGAACTAAGTAACCAATCACCGATCACTTTTACATTTATTCATAATTTTTACTACGTACTATAGTAAACAAATGGCCTTGAGTTGCCGGCTGTCTCCGGCAGTGTTCGAAGGATCTTGAACAAGACTGTACATCACATGATAACTACTCCTGCACTGCAAATTATTACCACTAAGAACAAAGTCAGTGAATTACTATCAAACCCATTTGTGCACATTTATTAGAGCAAGTATATAGAATATGGCACAAATTAGAAGACAACAAAGACAAACCCACTGATTTCAGTCTTGCATGATGTATCGCTCGACTTTTTGAGAACTCTTGATGGCTGGTTTCTGGATCTCAATAGTGTATTGTGAAAGAAATAGGAGTAAAGTTGATAGACCTTGATGATGACATGGCCAAGAAGACTAATAGGCAGCTGGACATTGGCTTCACAACCAAAAATTTACTCCAGAAATTAATCAAAGATGGATATAACAAACAGGATCGAGCAGTTCTATCATTATGTCAGATCCTTTATGTGGAAGCATTTAATTATGCAGAAAGCCACTTGCCACAAGATGACCTTGTGCTCAAGAATGCTGAACTGTCTCAACTTTAATGATGTGATTGCCTGGTACAATATCCATTTCCTCTTCCTGTTACCAATGCTTCATCAAAAATTTAAGTACTGTACTTAAGGATGAGTTAATTTCATACCAGTTACTAGAGGAAATTGATTTACTGTACTGCACTAGCAGATGTGTGAAGAACAAGGGCAGATCCAGGGGGTCCTGGGGGTCCAGGACCCTCTTTTCACCAGAAAATTCTAATACTTTTTCTTTAATGCTGTATTGTACTGAGGCATTTTTGTGTTGTAAAATGTATTTACTATTGACTTCAGAATATCTCCTAATATCAAGTGTGCATGACTTCAAAATGGCCTTTAAATGCCCATGATATTGGTCAGATTAAAAAAAGAGCTTCAGCGTGCCCCCAAAACCCCAGCTGGTTGGACTCACTGTGCTCGTCATGCCCCCACCCACAGCTTCTTGACCCCCGCCACCCTTTTGATATTCCTGGATTCGCCCTGAAAAAAGGCTGCAATATAGTATGTTGAGGACACTGTAAATTCAAGAAAATCCAGCCTGCACTCCACTGATGTTGTTTGGGGGACCTACAGTATTTCCACCAGGAACAATGTAGATGGCAGCCCTCGGTTCCCTATTCTCAATCAAAAGGCACAGCTGTTTTTTGCAATACTACACTCAATTGCGGAAAAGCATATTTTTGCAATGGTAATGAAAAACAAAAACCCTTTCAGATTACAAATTCCAATCTCAAAGAAGCTCCTTCCCTATGAAAGCAAAAGCAGCAACTAGGTAATACAAATGAACGAATAACAGTAAAACCTGAGACTTTTCTCAAAATAAAATATGACTAGTTTATTGTGGTGTGTATAGTAAGTAATTATGCACATTTTGGTCTGATTTCAATAATGATGCAGTTTTGTGATGTTTCATTAACCTTCTAAGCATTTACTGTTTTTTACACTGGCCTCGAGTCTTAAATGTCACAAATAATGATATTTCACTCTTAAAATGGTATAAATGGTTATTTAGAGGCTTCAACACCCACCCACCCCCCCCCCCAAAAAAAAATCAGTTTGAGTATACTGTGCTACTGACACCCTAGGTGGGGCATGTTTGCTCCGGACAGAAACCAAGAAGTAATTTTATTTTTAGAAACATCACGGATTTTTTACTCAGTGGTAAATATGCTTAAATCAATGAATAAATGAATAACTGTGTCTGTTGCAAAACATGTGGTAATAACATCAAGACCGAGCTGGAATTCAGGTAATAGTAATGTTGGAATTATACCACAAATATAATTTCAAAGAATTTTTTTTAAAGTAGACTACAAAAAATATCCTAATGATTCTAATTATAGTTTTATTTAGAATATTAACACTGATTTTGGTTAGTTTGTATCAAATGAGAAATATAATAATAAGCAGTTCTACTTTTAATATATTTTTAACATTGACAACTTTGGCTCATAACAATGAATTCACAGCTTCGAAAAATAACTAAATAAATAAAATATTAACTTCACAGAATTATTTATTTTTATATTTTATTTCAATGAGATCTTTCGAATTAGTTATATATTAGGTACATATTAACCAATGAAATTTCTTGTCTGAACTCCTTTCGCCGTGACGTCATATCCCTCTTCTCTTCAGCAAGTACCACGATGAGGTGAGGACCGTAAACACAGCATTTTATTATATATTTCTACATTATTTTAGTTTATTGGTAACATCAATTGTTTTATATAGGAGCAATTAACAGAGCTTTGAGATATAATGTGAAAGTGATGGAGTTTGGTGTGATATTAGTGAGTGAAGTGGATGATAGTTATACACGCTGATGCTTGTTGTAGTGAGGGCCGCCATGCTGTCCCCAGGATATTTATACATAATACTGTTGTCACTGGATTAGAGAGTGTTAATTGGTAGGATATAGTCGTGGTGGCTTTTGTTGATTGTATAAGTATGAAGTTAGCCCTTTAGAGTAGAAGTGAGAGTGGTATAATTATTCATTAGTACCTGTAGCAGTTAGGTGTCTTGTAGTTTAGAAGGTGAATATTTGGACACCACTATGCCTAAGCTAGCTTTTGGGATATTGTGTAGTGAATAGTTGGTGCATGGGTTAGTGATTAAGGTTAACAGCTACTCGGTCATCTCGGTACATGCACTTTATCTATTAACTCAGATTCAATTAAGTTTTCCAATTTTTTTGTGACTGTGACACCAAATACTAGTCGAGAAGTGATTGGCAGTCCGATTTATTCATGTAGGACCATTATTTGACTTCATTGCGGCTACATTTGGGTTCATTTGGGTAATTAGTCGGACCCATCAGGTGATATGATTTAATGCCGCCTCATCTTTTATGTTTAATTTTGCATGTATATACCTGTAATGGGTAAAGTTGGAGGAAACAGTTAACACCAGAAATAATTATGGAATTGAACCCAAATTTCTGGAGATATTTTCTTGATACTTAACACGTAAATGGAAGGGTAAATAATCATCCGTAGGCTGTCCTCAGGTTTTGATACAAGAACAGCTTTTTTTGCGTGTATTATATTGTGTTTTACCCAAATCTGACCTTCATTTCTTGTGTAAATCGCTAATTTGCATCAAAATGGCGGTCAGGTTTGAGTAAAACTCGCAATAAAAAACAAACTGGACGGTCTGGTATGCTTATGGTTACAGACAAAAGATGGAAAGGAAGTAAATCACTAGGTGCACCTCGATTATGCGGTTCAGTTCTGGTGCCCTTATTATAGAATGGATATCAATTCACTGGAGTCGGTGCAGCGAAGAATGACGAAAATGATTCCGGGACTTAGAAACCTTCCATATCAAGATAGGTTAAAGAAACTAAACTTGTATTCCCTAGAAAGACGAAGAGTGCGGGGAGATATGATTGAAGTATTTAAGTGGGTGAAAGGAATCAATAAAGGGATATAGATAAAGTTCTTATAATATCCGAGCAGGATAGGACTGCATTTACTGGCAGTCAAAGCAGATGAGCATGCTGTGGAGAGGGCAGATGTGGCGCTGGCAGCTGGTGCACAGTTTCTTCGATTTCCTGTCTTTGGAAGGTTCACACATGCGGCACATGATGCCAATCAAGGTTCTTGACAGTTCTGGGCGAGAGCCGCTGTTGTGCCCAAAGTTTCATTAATTCCACAGTCAGGACCTTCATAAACTGCTGCCTTTCCATCCTCTTTGCCTCTTGCTGTAATGTATGATCCATGCATTGCTGCTCATGGCATTGACCATACCATAAAATAAACACGCTGGCCACTGCTACACGAATACAAACCACACATTTGATCAAAGATGGCAAAAGTGCTGGAGTTACACAGCCATATCAGTTGTATTCTGAAAGTTCCTTAAACATTAAAACTAACTAAACCCAACCTTAAATATTACAGTACAGTAAGTTGAATTATATAATTTGTTGGCAGAAGGTAAGAGCAGAGACCTGGTGTAGAAACAACTTGTGTTTATGCTACTTGAAATAGATACCTGGCAAAATATTACTTGTGTTATTAGGGTTCCAGCTCTATGTCCTTCCACAGCCATCTTACAGCTTCTTGTGCTCAACTGGTTTTTCAGGAACTCTGAACATTTTTCACATCATTTATGTCAAGGGCTTGTACTGAAGAGGATACTTTTATTTACAGTTCGCTCAAGGTACAGAAGCGCCTCGCTTCTGAGGTGTTGAAATGTGGCAAGAAAAAAGTTTGGTTGGATCCCAACGAGATAGGGGAGATTGGCCAGGCTAATTCTCGTAAGTACATACAGTATATGTATTTTCAGTCAAAACAGTCAAAAGATCTCAATTTGACTCTTTCATGTTGATTTGTTATTTTAAGTACATTTTTAATTTTGAGAGTGTACTAAGATTTTTAAATATTCAGAAACCTTGTTGTTTCCAGTTAATAATGTCCAATATTTATAATGGAAAAATTAGGAGTTGTATTGTACCACTTTTCTAAGAATGGAGAATTTACTTAATGATTTGGTGTTAAAGCATTTTAATTATACAGATTCCTCTAAATGAAATCATGTAATTATTTATTTTTACAGGTCAGAACATCCGCAAATTGATTAAGGATGGTTTGATCATCAAGAAGCCCCACAATGTTCACTCACGGGCCCGTGTCCGCAAGAATCAAGAAGCTACATAAAAAGGTCGTCATATGGGCTTTGGCAAGAGGAAGGGTACTGCTAATGCTCGTATGCCACAAAAGGTGAGGCACTCCATAAAAATTCAAACCACATAATGTGGAAGCAGATTCATTGGGCATCAGTAGTTGTGAAGAAAAAAATGTAGAAAGTGCTTGCACTCTCCCCCACCTCATTTATTATTATTATTATTGCAGGGTACTTGTAATCAAATGCACACACAGACTTGTGGTCATTCATTCACACTTAATGCTGTAACATCCTCTTATTATATTCAGTGCTGTGCCAGGTGCTTGTACTGTATTACCCAGGGCACAAAAAAATCCTTCTCCGGAAACTTTTCGCTCAAGCTCCATAATACAAACACTTGATACACATGAGTTCCCACAAAATCTGTTTCTATATATTCTGCTTTTCCGACAGTTCTCATGACAGTTAATGCTACCATGCACTGGTATAGCCCGATTCAACAAACACCATTCACTCAAGTCACATTTTTATCTACCATCCTTAACATTTCCATTCTCTCTTGGTGCCATAACATTTGTAAGCTAGTTCACAGCTAGTTACACATCATCCTCACTTTATTTTCACCTTTTTAGCATCCCAGTCAGCCAATTTTGCCTTTATCATGTGTTAAGTAGCAGTTGCATGGTATCTGTACCTGTTCAGTACTGTATTTACTTCTTTCCCATTAACCTTATGTGTTCGGGTTCGTCTCTGCTGAATAAAAGTGGCGTCCCCGTAATGAAGGGACCAATGTATTTTTTACGTGATATTATTTCATCTTTAATTCTTAATTACCATACAGTATCTATATTATCTTGGCATTCTTACCCTATTCATTTCCTTCCCAAAGCTTTTCTTCAAACCCCAGTAACCACCTTCCCTTCTTTCATTTGGTCTTTTAATGCAGTCTTAAAAACATTTTTTCCTCTGATCTTTAATTCAATATCGGCTGAACAGGAATTGGTGTACAACTCCTACTTGAACATTATACACAGCCTTTTTTCCTGATCCATTGGTTTTGCATTAGAAATTGGATAGGGATAAGTGGCTAATTATGGCCTTTATCCTTACTTCTTCAAGCTTTTGTTTTTATTTAGGATTCTTAATTCCTTTGTCTTTAGTTGATTAGTTTCAGGGTTGGTAAAGGGTCACTGGAATTACTGAATGTTTCCAAGGAATATCTGGGTTATTTATGTAGACTAGTAAAATTTGGGAGTACAATTACTGAGAGCATGTGACCAGGTAATCCAATTATAGTATCAAAGGACTGTATGTGGCATATAAAGTGGAAAATAGGCAACAGTAGCATGTAACAGATGTGTGTTCTTGGTTGACGGCCATGGTGGACGAGATTGTGAATATGATAAAGAAAAGCCAGGAAAAATAATTTCCTTTAATATTCCGTAACGACTTCCATTGTATGAATACTAATGCACATACCATACTTAGCCACAGTATTGTTAAAATTGGTTGTAATTTTCTTGTTCTCCATATAACCTGTAGTTTATAATTTTATTTCTAGATCCTCTGGATTCGCCGTATGGTTGTCCTGCGTCGCATGCTGAGAAAGTACCGCGACAATAAGAAGATTGACAGGCATCTGTATCATGAGTTGTACATGAAGGTGATCATTGTTTAAGGCACGAGTGAAATTTTATTTTGTGTAGAATTGATGCTTGGTGCAAATACCTTAAATTTGGGGGTAAAAGATTTGGTTTGCCATGTGCTATTTTTCTTGAAATTGTTGAATAATAATGTCCTTTTATCTGAATCTCACTGCATTTGACAATATAACAGTAGGCTTAATTTTTGTTTTTACCTATAGTACTAATAAGATGATTTTTCTCAGGTGAAGGGTAATGTCTTCAAAAATAAGCGTGTGCTTATGGAGTACATCCACAAGAAGAAGGCCGACAATGCTCGTGCCAAGATGCTCAGTGACCAGGCAGAAGCACGCCGATCCAAGGCAAAGGAAGCCCGTAAGCGCAGACAAGACCGTGTTGCCATAAGGAAGGCAGATGCTCTAAAGAGCAAAGATGATGCAGAGTAATGTGTGTACCCTTTAGTAAAGAAAAAAAAAAGGAAGCAGTTTGTTTTTCATACCTGTAACCATTTTATGTTTTCAGTTGTAGAACAATAATTGAAGTGCAGTTCTATAAAATAATTTAATGGTTAAAGCTACTGAACATTTATAAAGAAAGAAAAGTGGTTGAGAGCAATGACCAGCAGAAGTCCTCTCCTCTTATAAAAATGGGCAGCACCTGCGTGAATCGCCTCCTTACACGTACAGCCTCTTCCTCCCACCAACACCCGAGTCTGAATTGGAAAAATAAAAAATAAAGTAAATTCAACCATGATTGTACTGTACATACAATTATAGGGTAAATTTATTTAGTGATATAAAATATGTGAAAGAAATTTGGGAAAAATATCTTGAATACAGTACTAGTACAGTATACTGTACAGTACTACAAATTTTTCGGCATCTTGCATAGCTTTGTAAAAAAAGAACCGTTGACCAAACATCGTTGCCAACATTTATCGTAGTCAATTATATAAAAATTCTTCAATTTAGTAAGTCATTTTTATAAGAATAATAAAATCCATTTAAAATCCATTTAAATTGGTCTTGCCTGGAAAAATGAGTTACTTATGGATTGCAATAATGTGATAATAACCGTACTTTGTTGTTGCCGCTGATTAGTTCTAGATAGATGAGAATATACTGTATGTACATGTAGAATTTTTATTCTTATCTGTTAGTTACTTCAAGGTGTAAGTTAATACTGGGGCATATTAACTGCACTTGTGGCTGGGGTAAATATTATGATAGTCTGGCAGACCTTTTCTAGTGACATGTATATATATATATAGGTGTTAACAGTACTGTGTATGTAATGGTACAGTGCATAATACATTTGTACTTTATACTAACAGTATTCTACTTGGACTGGAGCATTTATACAATTTACATGTACTGTGTGCTTAGGAAGGCTAATAGGGCTCCAACAATATAGTAGAACCTTATGTTTGTGGATGATGTCAAGTAATTCAGGAAAATTAAAAACCAAATGGACTGTGAAGAGCTACAGAAAGATCTCACTTTTAGGAGTGGTCAGAGGAATGGCTGTTATGATCCAATGTCAAAATGCAAATGGTATACACCCAGGGGCAGCTGCAATCTTGGGTGTTCACAGGGGTGGCTGGCAGTCCGAGGTGTCCCAAGAAGCGGTTCTAGGTCTGACATTCCCAGGGTGACTGAAGGACACTTCCAGGGGTAGTTCATGGTCTATGGTGCCCCCAGAGTGGCAGGAGGGCTGGGGTGCCCTCTACCTAAGCAGTGTTCCCCTGTCTAGATCTTTGTCCCTCTCTCTAGTCCTTTGTGTAACGCCACCCATGCCTCAGTCATGTCACCCATACCTCACTCACATCACCCATACCACAGTCACACCACCTATGCTTCAGTCACAACCCATGCCTCTGTCACATCATCCTTGCCTCAATCACATCTTTCATGCCTCAGTCACCACCCATGCCTCTGTCACATCATCCTTGCCTCAATCACATCTTTCATGCCTCAGTCACACCACCCATGCCTCAGTCTCACCACCTCCCATGTCTAAATCCCGCAACCCAAGGTTCAGTCACACCAATCATGACCTGCAAGAATTTTGTTTCAGAGCCAAGAAGCTTATGATCAATAGTTTAGTGATGGTTTAATTATAAGAGCATGAGGATATGAGACGTAGCTTAAACTCCTTATTTTAACTTACACCAGGATAATCGACTGAATTGGTGCTTAGAATACTTTTTTCTAATATTTATATAGAAAGTGTTTTAATTTCAATAATTAATAGAGTGTCCGTGGTGAAATTATATAGAACTGCAGTAGAGTAGGACCTCTTCTATTTACCTCGTGTCTTTGTAAGGGATTGCAGTCGCTTCACTAATAAATTATTCCGGCATTTTTTTACTAGCAACAATGGTATGATCTGTGTAGGTCAGCTCAAGAGGACATCATTGATAACTAACAGAAACCAAATAACAGAAATGCATTAATTTTCATTCACAAAACAATGTGTTTGCCATGGTCCATGTAACTGCCTGCATGTTTATCTTCCCTGTTCTTCATCAAGGTATGTCTGATGGCTAGGATGCCTTTATTTAGCACGAGTAAGCCGCCTTTGGGTTACGAATGTCAAGCTCCTTTTACATACAAACTACCATACAATGATTAACCCTCAAGCAAACGTGACTAATATTAGTTTGATCTAAATCATAGTAGTTTACCATATTATTTTACGTTTTCCTTTATGAACCCATAAAGAGTATGTGAAAAGGAGAACTTAGGTAAAATTATGTTTGACGGGGTTTTATGAGTATAAAAATATATCTTATGTTTACGTGATGGCCTTTACGGACATAGCTTTACTTTTAATCTACCCTCTTTGCTTCTGATCGGCTTGTGAGCTGCTTGGGCGGTCGGTCACGTCTCTGTTGGCAAGTTCTTGGTACCTGAGGTGCCGGAGTGCAGGCACATGTCTCTTGGCCCTCTTTTGGACGTTCCAAATCAACTGCAATGAGGGTAACATTTTAGAATAAGTAAAATTAACCAACCATGTAAAACTTTCCTTATACTCTGCAGGGACTGGGTTCTGTCTAAGCCAGACATAATATTGTACTGCTTGGAATACGCAATCAAACATAAAACACTGTCTTCTCTACAGTCATAAGAGATTGGAATGGCATGTTTCACAATATTACAGTTTTAAGCAGAAACAATGATTTCGTGTGTTACTGATTCATTAATGCTGTGCCGTGGAAAAAACAACTCAATTGGTTTTAGTTACTAGTACAATGTAATATGTCATACTTATGGTCAAGTAGAATTGTTTCTATTTTGTAGTTTAATTGTAAATAGATTCATCAGAGTACCGTCCTCATATATGTGGGTTGGCGTTAACTCCAATCTCACATAGTGCAGCGGTAACCCGTGTATCTGGGTTCATTTACTCCCCGGCCCAGGATAGATGTGAGAAGGGTTTTTATCCAGAGTAAATCTACTAAACATGGCAGGTTTTCTATTTGTACTTCAGTTTCCTCCTGCACAAACACTAAATAATGAAGGTCGTAACAAAGAACAGAGCGACCACCTGAACAATTTATAGGCTGATGAGTAGTAAATTTGACTTGGTGGTCACAGCCAGGAACGTTACTTATCTGGGGTTGAATCTACTCGTATATAATCACAGATTGCTGACCAAATATTAGTATAATAACCATGATACAATTCAACTGGTCTCAGATAGACTACTAAATTGTGACCAGGAGGAAACCGGGGACCGGGAACCTGTGGTGTCTGGTAGTGAGGGTCACACTGGATAACACCCTTCTCACGTATGTCCGGACGGAGGCTCGAACCCTTGATATTGATTGGTGAGAGTTATGCGCGTTACTGATGTACCACCGTTGACCATTGCATTATTTTTGGCTATACTGTACTGTTCAATACTCTACTGTTCGTAACTCTGCCTATTAAAGAAAATGTCAATATCACTTCAGTTATAACACAAGTAATGACAGGAATGACCCTTTATCTATAATGATTATCAATTCAAGTGCATGGAGTCTTGGACTGTAAAACCCTATTTCTTGGGGAGCCGCCAGTTGTAATTAATATGAGTCTAACTTTTAAGTTCAAACCTAACCTATATTGAATTAACAGTTTCAACATGTATCCAACATAGAGCAATACAGGGAAACTAAAGGGCAGCATAATCATCCACTGTTGAATTTAACCAGTTTCCAGCCACGAACAACTTCCCCAGTCACTGAACAACATAGCATCGACGTACAACACAAAAATTCCTATACATCCACACAATTCCTTAACTACAAATATTATAATCTACAAATAATTGTAAATAATAAAGAAATAAAAATAAAAATGCCCACCGCCAATACTTATATGAAATTGCCACCCCGAACACACATACCCGAGTCCACACGTCTAGAGAAGCAGCTGTGATCGTACGACTAAAACAATACTACCATCTTATATGTTGTATACTGTATATCGTTCTGTAGTTTGTTCTCCCTAAAATTATATATAAATCAGTGATTGTTTCGTCAATATTTTCTTCAAGTAACGACCGGCCATTTCCTACGTAAATTCATTCAGTGGTTTCGAACTTTCCTCCTGACTCCTGTGGAAAATGAAGCACACGAGTCACATTCCAATAATAATGCAAATAAGAACATAAAGTTATTTAGACACTTTTCAAAATTAATTAATACACAAAAATAACAAAATGATATTTCAACGAAATAATAAAAACTATTAAAAATGTATTAAAAGGTTTCATACACTATAATACTGTTTCTTAAAGTACACACCTTACCTCATTAAAATTGCATACTCTCCACTCTAGGACTCGGGAGTAGTTGAAGCAGTTCCTTGATTGTTTTTAAAGAGACAAGTTATGAAGTATCGATTTTTCCAGTTTTCGACAACGGATTCGCGTTGAGTTACATAACTCTAGTCTAGCAAAATGTCATGAATGTAATAGTTACGGTGTGTACGAAAAGACAACAATATCTTTCACTAGTTTATTTATGCTTGAGAGAGTGATGATATACAGTATGTACAGTGCTTTAGTTTTAAAAAAGTAAAATTTTTTGGTAATCTTACAGAAAAGCCACATAGGAACAAGCCTCGATGATCACAGAACAAGTTGATGTTTACTATTCTGGTCCGGTGGTTCTTTGACGATGTGCAGGTAATGTGTGATGATATGTTTTGTTTTTTTATAACGAGTAATGTGAATGGTTATTTTGTATCTCCTGAATAATCTCCACCCTAGCTTAGTTCACATTAAGATTAACCACCCTAACGGCAGTGGTGTATATAGGGGGGCCATGCCCCCTCCCCTTTTTTCTCACCATTAGCACCACTCCTTTGCAACTTCTTCCCTTTAACGATGGAAACCCTCTACATTAGGGTGAGAGAGCAGTTAAGGTAAACTAACGGAAAAGGTCTGTTGCTATAACTTACATAAAGCAAATACAGAGTTGATTTGTTAGTT